AAAAAAAAAAAAAAAAAAAAAAAAGAATAATATTTCTGGCTGGGTATGGTGGCTTACGCCTGTAATTCCAACACTTTGGGAGTCCAAGGCAGGTGATCCCTGAGGTCAGAAGTTCGAGACTGGCCTGGCCAATATGGCAAAACCCCATCTACTAAAAATGCAAAAATTAGCTGGGCATGGCCATGCGCGCCTGTTATCCCAGCTACTTGGGAGGCTGAGGCAGGAGAATCACTTGAACCTGGGAGGCAGAGGTTGCAGTGAGCCAAGATTTCACCACTGCACTCCTAGGCGACAGAATGAGACTGTCTTAAAAACAAAACAAAAAAGCCCCAAAAAAACAAAGAAAAAGGGTGTCGGGCACGGTGGCTCATCCCTATAATCCCAGCACTTTGGGAGGCTGAGGCAGGTGGATCACTTGAATCCAGGAGTTTGAGACCAGCCTGGGCATTGGGCAGCATGATGGAATCACATTTCTACAAAAAAGTACAGAAAATAGCAGCCATGGTGGTACATACCTGTAGTTCCAGCTATTTAGGAGGCTGAGGCAGGAGGGTTGCTTAGGTCTGGAAGGTTGAGGCTGCAGTTAGCCATGATCTTGCCACCACACTCCAGTCTGGGTGATAGTGTGAGACCCTGTCTCAAACAAACAAACAAACAAAAAATCTGTCTTATTATACAGTCATGCACCATCCAGTCTCTCCCCAGTGCCACTATGGTCCCCGGCTTATCTCCTGGTTTGGAGGGTACTTTAATGGCTATCACCCCAACTAATCAGTGACCACAAGAGTTTGAAGAGAACTTGCATATCTATACCTCCTCCAATATCTCCATTGGTTCCTGTTCTCACCACCCAGCATGCTGTGCACAACTCCCAGCATCTTCTTCCAGAATACCCCATTTCATAGCAACTATAGTTTATCCCATTACTTCCTCAGTCCATGCAGTACCACTGACATCCTGATAGGTGAGTTGCTCCTAAGAGAAATATAAGCTACCAAGGACAAGCTACCTATTAGAAGAAGTATGTGAGGCCAGGCGTGGTGGCTCATGCCTGTAATCCCAGCACTTTGGGAGGCCGAGGTGGGTGAATCACATAGTCAGGTGCTCAAGAACAGCCTGGCCAACATAGTGAAACCCTGTCTCTACTAAAAATACAAAAATTAGTCCGGGCATGGTGGCATGTGCCTGTAGTCTCAGCTACTCGGGAGGCTGAGGAAAGAGAATCGCTTGAACCTGGGAGGTGGAGGTTGTGGCGAGCTGAGATGGCACCACTGCACTCCAGACTGGGCAACAGAGCGAGACTCCGTCTTTTTTTAATTATTATTATTATTTAAAAAGGAAGTATGTAAACTGGCACCTGCTCCAGAGAAAAAAATCCAAGTGGTAGGCACCGCCTGGTTCTACCACTGTGATCTACACGTGTTCAAGACTAAAGCTGGAGGACATTTTCTTCGGTTACTTCAAAGTGATGGAAGTTGTTAGTCCAAGAGTCTTTGGACCCCAGTGTATCCACCCTATGTTCAATGAGGCCCCATTCCATACACAGGGCCTCAGGATAGACAACTGGAGAATGTTATTCAGGAGAAGCTGAACTCATGGCAATTCAATGGTAGCCCCAGGACATAGAAGAATGTTGTGGAAATGAATGACTCTTAAGTGACTACAGCCTTGCTCCTCAAAGGTGGTGCCTGAACTAGCAGCATCAGCATCAGCTGAGAGCTTGTTAGAAGTGTAGAACCTCAGATCCCACTTCTGACCTATTGATTTAGAATCTATATTTTAAACAAGACCCAGGGGTGATTTAGCACATTACTGCTTGGGAAGCACTATATTAATGCTTTCTATGTAGGTGTCTTAGTTTGTGTAAGCTAAGTAAGCTGGTGACCAAATACTATCAACTGGGTGGCTTATAAACAACAAACATTTATTTTTCATAGCTGTGGAGGCTGGGAAGTCCAAGATCAAGGTGCTGGAAAATGGTGCCTGCTGATGGCCCACTTTGCTATAGGTGTCTTCTATGACCCTGCACGGTGGAAGTGGTGAGGGGGTCTTTTCAAGGCCTGTTTTATTTTTTTGAGACAGTCTTACTCTGTCACCCAGGCTGGAGTGCAGTGGTGCCATCTCGGCTCACTGCAACCTTTGCCTCCCAGGTTCAAGTGATTCTCCTGCTTCAGCCTCCTGAGTAGCTGAGATTACAGGCACCCACCACCACATTTGACTAATTTTTGTATTTTTGGTAGAGACAAGGTTCTGCCATGTTGGTCAGGCTGGTCTTGAACTCCTGACCTCAAGGTGATCCACCCACCCTGGCCTCCCAAAGTGCTGGGATTACAGCTGTGAGCCACTGCACCCAGCCTATGGCCTCTTTTATAAAGGCACTAATTCCACTCATTCAATCTTCACCCTCATGACTTAATCACTTCCTGTTAGGAAGCCCTGCCTCCTAACACCATTATTTTGGGGCTAGAATTTCAACATAGGAATTTTGAGGGTACACAAACATTTAGACCACAGCAGCAGGGAACCCAGGGATCTGTGTTGTTACTGGTGATCTAGGTGTGAGGATGAATGTGTGTGTACCTATGTGTCATTGAAATGACCTTGTATTCCCTAATGCCCCACTCTGCACACATCACTGAGGTCCTGGGACTGCACTCCATCATCCTGGAAGTTTCTCCCAGCCTCAACTCCTTCCTAGCATTCTGAGACCACACAACGTGTGTGGAGGGCTGTGCTTGCTATCTCATGATCTCTTTCCAGGTTATCATTGCCCCAGTGCTGACCTGTCTGCACCACACACTCCCAGCTTGCCATCTCCTTACCTCCACACAGACATCAGAACATCTCCTTCCACATGTACCCCACCAGCCCCACGCTGGCTCCCCCAGATTCTCTTTGTATGAGACTAGGGTTTGACAACAAACACCCATTTACCTGCCAGAGTACTACCAGCCCAGCTAGAAGCTTTTGGCCAGGAAAAGGTCAGTCAGGAAGTGAGTGGTCTATAGTCTTTGATCTTTCTTGAAGGCTGGAAAGAAGAAATGTCTCCTGGTTAGGTCCCCAAAGCTCAGGCTGAGAGCTCTGCCTGGACAATTCTGGGCATGCTCATTCTGGCTGGCACTGAAATGCAATGCTGGGGTTTGCTAATTTGTTCACACTTGCCAGGCCTTGTGAAAAGCTTCCTGCCAGGAAAGGAACCAGGAATGATGAGTTGGCTGAGTTGACACAGCATAAAGCTCAACTTAAACAGTTTCTGAGTCTTTTATTTCTGTGTTCTTTTTCCCTTGGTTCTGGTTTTCTGGCTTTTTATCACTATTATCAGAGTGGGCATACATTTCAGTTCAATTCAGTTCAGATGGGATTCCAGCCAAGTGTGGTGGCTCATACCTGTAATCCACGTACTTCGGGAGGTTGAGGTGGCAGATGGCCTAAGGCCAGGAGTTTGAAACTAGCATGAGCAATGAGGTGAAACTCCATCTCCGTGAAAACATTTTTTAAAAAGGTGGCCAGGTATGGTGGTGCATGCCTGTGGTTGCAGCTAATTGGGGGACTGAGGTGGGAGGATCACTTGGGCCTGGGAAAGTTGACACTGCAGTGAGCTATAATCATACCACTGCACTCTAGCCTGGGTGACAGGGAGACCCTGTCTCAAAAAAAAAAAGATTCCAAGGTGCTTTGTTATAATCACTCCCTGGCAAATGCTTTTGCCTTCCTTGCTTTTTTCTTTCTCCATCAGTCACGCCTGGCATAACCCTAACCCCGAATAAAAGCAACCACTAACTTCTCCACACCTTTCCATGAGCCCCTGAACATTGTTGGAGAAAATCATTTAACTAAACTGACTGGTTTTCCCCTAATGATCAAAAACAACACAGAGGCACATGAGACACTGCCCAGCAACCCCAGAGATTCTCCAGTAAATCTGCTTACTCACAAAACTTGATGACAATTTTATCCTTTCACACAGTTCTTAAGCCTCACCCCTGAACTATTCTTAACTGATGCTTCACTGAGAGATTAAAAGACATTAGAGCAGAGACTTTGTCTTTTTATAGCCAAGACTACTACAGACTTCTCTGCATATTCACCCATCTTCTCTCCCACTCTTTTTCTTTCTCTTACTTGCTTTCTCCCTCCCTCCCTTCCTCCTTCCTTCCCTCCCTTCCTTCCTCTTTCTTTCTTTCCTTTTGACAGGGTCTCACTCTGTTGCCCAGACTGGAGTGCAGTGGCACAATCTTGGCTCATTGCAACCTCTGCCTCCCAGGTTCAAGCAATTCTCCTGCCTCAGCCACCAGATTAGCTGGGACTACAGGTGTATGCCACCACATTTGGCCCATCTTCGCTTTTCTTTCTGTGACAATGGAGGAAGCTTCTCTCCTCCTACCGAAGGTTAATGTACTTGGGTTGCATTTTTCCTAACCTTCCTAGGGTACTTGGATTATTTCTTTTCTCCTGCATAATCAACCTCTTCTGAATCAACTAGAATACTTTCCACTGCAAGTAAAAAGACAAAGGCCCTGCTGGGCGTGGTGGCTCAAGCCTGTAATCCCAGCACTTTGGGAGGCTGAGGCGGGTGGATCACGAGGTCAACAGATCGAGACCATCCTGGTCAACATGGTGAAACCCGTCTCTACTAAAAATACAAAACATTAGCTGGGCATGGTGGNCAGGAGGTGGAGGTTGCGGTGAGCCGAGATTGCGCCATTGCACTCCAGCCTGGGTAACATGAGTGAAACTCCGTCTCAAAAAAAAAAAAAAAAAAAGACAAAGGCCATCAGCAGACCAAACACTCCCAATTTTATATCTCCTGCCCAGGATGTCTTCCAAGCTCCAACTATTCATGGGCCCAAAAGCCTCCTGTCCAGCCTGGGCAACATGGTAAAACCTCATCTCTACAAAAAATACAAAAATTAGCTGGGTGTGGTAGGGTGTGCCGGTAGTCCCAGCTACTTGGGAGGCTGAGGTAAGAGGATCACTTGAGCCCAGGAGGCTGAGGTGAGGGTTGAAGCTGCAGTGAGCTGAGATCATGCCACTGCACTCCAGTCTGGATGATGGAGCAGAGGGAGACTCTGTCTCAAGAATTTAAATAATTAAAAAAGAAGAAAAAACAAGCAAAAAACAAGGAGCTAAGATGGGAGGAAAAATTGGCCTGGTAAAAAAAAAAAAAAAAAAGAGTCCCCTGGGCATTTTCCCCTTGGCATCTTAAACTTAACATGTTCTAAACTGAACTGATTTCCATCTGGAACAGGTGACTCTAGCTGCATTCTCTCTTGGTTCTTTGCTACCAAGTATCCCAACGTTGTTTAAAATAACAACATGTTTAGCTAAAAAGTTGTTAGCCAAGCTCCTTTATTGTTAGAAGTGATCACATGACAATTCTGCCCAGAGGCATGAGCAGAAGTTACTGGATAGGGCCTCTAAGAAAGCCTCTAAAAAGTGGGCAGAATGAACCCTCTCTCTTTTTTTCTGCATGGAACATACACAGAGATAGTGCAGCCACCTCATGATCATGAGGTCCACAAGCTGAAGGTGAAAAAGTGGAAGGTTGGAAGGACCCTGAGAAACAACATCATTGCATCCCAACATTAGTTCTGGGATGCTACAGAAAAAAATGATGCCCTTACTTGTTTAAGCTACTATGTATAGCAGACGTTTTGTTACAGGCCACCGAACCAAGACTTAGCTATATACAACTCAAACCTACTTCTCGCTAGCCTTCCCCATTAGTAATTGGGACCTCCAGCCCCAAGTCCAGAGACCTGCAAGTTATCTGAGATTATTGTCCCTCAACACTCACCTACAATCCAGTCGATAAGCAAGTACTACAGCATCTCCTCCAAAATATTCCTACTCATGCACTTGTCTTTATCAGCCTTGCCACTACCTGGTTCAAACCACCATCATCTCCTAAAATAACCCGATACTGGTCCCTTTGCCTATCCCCTTGCCTCCTTTCAGTCTTTTCACCATCT